AGGGCACTGAGCCAGTCAGGCCGTCGCGCCCCGTCCACGCTCCTACTGTTGCAGGCTGCGAGGCTGCGGCTCCTCCGCCCTCAGGGGGCGTGGCCCCAGCGGCTTCAGCCCTGGGACCGCGCGACACCCTCCAGTCGCCTCGCCACGGCGACGGCCGCCAGCGCACGGACCGCCGCACCGCGCTGGTCCACCACCTGGCCAGGCGCACCGATGACCTCGTCCCCGCCGCGAGGCCGGCGGCCGCGGGCACAGAGCAGCCGCCCCGCACCGACCGCGAAGCCGAGCTGTCCCAGTCTATGGCCGCTCTCCAGCAGAGGTGCGCAGCTCTCGCCGCCGACCTTGCCGCTGCCCAAGCCCGTCAAGGCCCTTTGCTCCAGCGCCTCCACCGCGCCGGTCGTGCCCTCGCCGAGCTGCTTACACCCCCGCCCGATGGTGCTGCGCCGCCACTCACCCTCCATGCTATGCTTTCATCGCTCCGCGGCGCTCCGCCTGGAGCCCCGCGCTAATCTCCGCCATTCTGCCTGCCCGTGTGCACGCGTGGCCCCGCGTCCACGGTGTCAGGGCGTGGGGGCGGCGGGTGCCCCGTCCCTGCGCGCCGCGCTGCGGCCAAGCGCCCAACTGGCGGTCTGCCAAGCCGCCTAGCCATTTGTCCGCACGTCGCCTTTCTTGTTGGGGCCTTCTTCGTCACGCGGTCTGGCACGTGAGATCTTCACAGTCTGTCCGCCGTCCGTAGCTTCAGACGCAATGCGCCGGGGGAGGGGGTCTGTTGCCCGCCCTCGTATCTTAAGGCTGCACCGCCGCTAATAGTGTTTTGCGGGTTGTCGCACCGCAGTGCGCCTCGCGGACGGACCCTGGTCCGCCTACTTGTCCGGTCTCTCTCTCTCTCTCTCTCTCTCTGTAGATGTTTGTTTCTCTCTCTCTCTCTCTCTCTCTCTCTCTCTCTCTCTCTCTCTCTCTCTCTCTCTCTCTCTCTCTCTCTCTCTCTCTCTTCCTGGGCCGCCGGGGCGGGGGGGCTGGCAGAACGCCCGCCTGCTTCTCCGAAATTGCGTTGATTGTGCGGGAGCGGAGGGGGATGGAAGGCAGACAAGGAGTGGAAAAGGGGATGGGGCGGAGGAGAAGGAGGAGGAAGAGGGTGAGGGGACGAGGGAAGGGCCAGAGGGGGAGGGATATGGGGGCGCCCAGGACGACGACCAGGGCTCCATCTCTGGCTCCGCGTCCGCGTTCGTGGGGGCAGGCTGCGCGCAGCTGCCCGGGCTCGCGGCGGCTGCATGGGCGTCTTGGAGGTCGTCGTCGTCGTCGTCGTCCCCGTCGTCGTCGTCGTTTGCGTCGTCTGCGTCGTCTGCGTCGTCCGCGTCGTCGTCGAAATCGAAGTCGAGCTCGGGCTGCTTTGTTGTCGTCGGTCGCCCTCGCTCTCGCTGCCGCCGCCGCCGTCGTCGGTGGCTGCGCCGCCTTCGACGATTCGGCGCCTCGGCAACTGAAGACTCCGAGGGAACCTCGCCGCGAGGGGACCGAGGAGGTGAACGAGGGGGAGGGCGAGAGGACAGGGAGGATGACGGGGAGGAGGAGGAGGAGGAGGAGGAGGAGAACGAGGAAGACGAGAAGGTTCGCAACTAGAACAGGTTGGGGACGGAGTTCAAACTGTTAAAGGGGGTTCGGTGCACAGGCAGCTGAGGGCGCAGGCTGAAGGGCGGCAAAAAGCTCATCTAGCACCTTTGCGTCGCCCTCGGCGGGGCCTGGAATGAGGAAGAGGTGGGGGAGGGGGAAGGGGCAGGAGAAGGAGGCGGAGGAGGAGGAGGCAAAGGAAGAGGAGAATGAGGAGGAGGAGGAAGGTGGCGGCGGCGGGGTCCGCTCAGGACGACACGCCCGGCCCCCACCCCAGCTCCGCGTCCGTGCTCGTCGGGGCCGCCAGCGCGCAGTTGCTGAAGCTCGCGGTGGAGCCTCTGGCGTTTGGGAGCTCGTCGTTAAACTCGTCGTTGTCGTCGTCGTGGTCGGGGTCGTCGTTGCCCTTGGGAGTCGTCGTGGGCGCCGTCGTGCTGTCAAAATCCAGAACAGTCCAGATCAGCAGTATTCCAAGATTACCCTTGCATCCCTGTTCCATCGCCCCATCCTTAGGTTTCTTTCATTGGCCAGCCCCTTCGGGTGCCTTTAGGGCGAGTTGCTTCCTTCGATTGCGCGGTGTGCCGCCTCTTTGGGCCGAGCCCTTCGGACGCGCGAGGGGCAGGGCACCCTTGGCCATCCTTGGGTTCGTTTTCCTCGCCCGCCCACTCGTGGGCGGGCGCGGCCCCGAGGATGCGCGATGGGCAGGGCACGTTTGGTCATTCTTGTGCCTGGCGTCCTTTCTCTCCCCTTCGCGGATGCATTGCTACAGGGGCGGGCGCGGCCTCGGGGATGCTGGATGGACCCCCGGCCACCCTGGGCCCCGTCTGTGCCCCTTCCCTTTGGAAGTTTCCGCCCTTCTCGCCAATTCTTTGTTTTGTGCATGTCCTCTTTGGGGGCGCTGCCGAGCTCCGCGCTCGCCCGCGCGGGCGGGTGGCCTGGGAACTGCAATGCGCATTTCATCAACCTCGCCCTCCTCGGCCTCCCCGTCCTCGTCCTCCCTGCCCTCGGCCGCCCTCCTCTTTCTAGCGCAATCCCGCCGGGGCCCCAGATTATACTTGGGCGTGGCCGTGAGCAGCACGATGGTGACGCAATTCATGTGCACGGCCGGCGCAAGGCTTAAGAACTTCGGTGTTTCGGGGAGGGTACCCTTATGTTCTTCGTTTTTGTTCCATGTTCTTGTGCACCCTGGGGGGGGGTGTCCTCGATGTTCTTCAGTTTGGCGCCATTATTCCTTCGTTCTGACAAAGCTGGGGTTCGGGGCTCACGATTCGGCTACGAGCGTCCGCGGCGGGGGCGGGACCCTCCATGTTCTTCGGTCCCGAAGTCACGGTGCGGCCTTCAGCAACCGCGTGCCCCTTCATGATGGTGGCGCGATTGCAATCACCCTCGCATGTTCTGACTGTTTGGCGTTGGTGGGCTTCGGGCTCCGGGGCTTAGGGCGTGCGGATGCAGGCTTGATTGAGGCTACGTACGCACGTAGGCCGCAGGGCTCGCGCGTCCGCGGCACGGGCAGGACCCTCCATGTTCTTCGGTTTCGATGTCAAGGTGCGGCACGGCGCGGCCTCCAGCAACCGCGTGCCCCTTGATGATGGCGGCGTGAGTGATTGCAATCACCCTCGCATGTTCTTAGGGGAGAACTTGGCGCTGGTGGGCTTCAGGTTTCGGAGAGTAGGGTGCGCGGCAGCAGGCATGAGGCTAGGGCGGGCGGGCGAAGCCACGCGCAGCTTTCTGGGCTGCGGCAGGGCTGAGAGGTTGGATGTGCGGATGACGTTCAGGACGTAGCGCTGACGTCGGTCCTATGCCTATGCTAAGGCCCATGGGGTAGGCTGCAGGGCTCGCGCATCCGCGGCGCGGGCAGGACCCTCCATGCTCTTCGGTCTCGATGTCAAGGTGCGGCCATCCGCAACCGCGTCCCCCTGGATGATGGTGGTGGCGCGAAAGGAATCGCCCTCGCATGTTCCTAGGAGAGAGTTTGGCGGTTGTTGGGCATCCGAGCGGGGTATGTGCGCGCGTGCGTGCGTGCGTGTGTGCGTGTGTGCGTGCGTCCTACCGAGGGCCACGCAAAACTTGACATGCGCGTCTGCGCTGCCGAAAGCGAGTTAAGAGGCCCGCGTTGTCAGCAATAGAGACAACCCATTGTTGGCTTTTTTTGTCTTTTTTTTTTTTTTTTTTTATTTTTTTTCATTTTTTTTGGAGATTTGTTTTTTTTGTTTTCTTTTTTTTATATTTTTGTATTTTTTTTTTTTTTTTTTTTTTTTCTTTTCTCTTTTTTTTTGAGAATCAAAGTGAACCTTCAGCGTCGCCAGTCAGATTTCCAAGTTAGCATGGGCTCTGGCGCATGTGTTCAGCAACGGCGCATGCAACCACTTCTCGCGCGCGCTTGCGCCGCGGCGCGCGCGGCGGCGCCGCCGCGCGCGCGGCGGCGCAGGGGCGTGAGGCGCTCAGTGTTATCAGCAGTAGAAGAAGCGCCATGTTGGCCTGGAGAATCAAAGTGGACCACTAGCGGTTGCCGATTTGATTTCCAAGTCAACATGGGTTATGGTGTACGTGTCTTGCAACGGCGTATACAACAACCCCTCGTGCGCGCCCGCGCCGCCGCCTGCGCGGCGGCGCCGCCGCGCGTTCTTGGTTGAACGCCAGCGGCGGCCCAGATTCGGCCAATTGGCGAGCGATCCAACGCCGCCACCGTCGTGCGAAGTCGAATGACCCGCGCGGAGTCAGAAACCAACGCCCATGTCATCATGGCGCGAATCTGCATTCGGCATTCGGCGGAAGGCGACGGATGAAAGAAAGGGAGAGGCAGGAGGAGAGAGCGGATGGGAAAGATATCCCACGTCGGCTTTCCCGATGTCTGTCGCCAGGATCGGCCAGGAAATCGGGAAACGGGGGATGCCAGGTCATCCTCCGCCATTCGCTTCCCGAAGCCACCCCTTCCCCTTGCTCCCTCGTTGTCGTAGTCGCTTTCGCCTTTTCCAGCCGGAGGCGAGGGGAGCGTCGCAGCGTCGCAGACGACGAAGTGGATAAAGTGCTCATTAAACGGGCCTTGGAGGATAATGGGCTGGCATCCCCCGATTTTCGAGCAGGCCTAGGGATCGAGGCCGATGTCGCGGCAGCAATTGGGAGACTTGTTTTCAGGATTCTTTCCATCACCATCCCTCCTGCCCCATTTCTCCGCGCCCCTGGCCCCACGAGGCAAGATTTGGCACTCGACCAAAAAGTTTGGCTTGACTTGTGAAAGCGACAGTTGGAGCATCCCGACATGATGAAGCTTCTCGGCGCACCGCGGCATCGTCACCCCCAGCCGCTGCGCGCCGCAAATCCTGCGGCGAACGCGCCCCTGTGTCTGGATGTCGGGTTCCGCAGCCATTCTGGCATGCAGCATGTCCGCGGGTTTTTGCGAGGACCCGCCGCCCGGCATGTCAGATTCGGGCGATGACTTGCCAACCTGCGCGTCGCCAGATTCGAGTGCGAGTGCTGCTGCGCCGCTGGCGCATGCCATCTCGCTGTTCGAGGCCAAGTGGGCCAGCGGCGAAATGGACCCGGATGATGCTTTTGGCGCAGGCTGTCCCAGCGCAGTGCTGTCGGAGGCGTCGGCTTCAAAAGCGCAGGGGCTTGCCTCTTCCTTTCCCGAAGTGCTCCTTCGGCAGGAAGGGCAAGGGCCCGCCCCGGATTCGAACCAATTAGCTCGGCGAAGGACCCGACCATTTGCAGTTGGAAAAAATGCAGGTTATCAGCCTGGCCGCATGGGCAGCTCGCGAGGCCGTTGGTGCTTCAGGTGGAGGCCCTATGGGGCCGCGAAGCGGGCGAGGATTGCGCTTAACTGAGGGGGGGCGGCGTGCGAGCGAACCTGACCGCCCGGGCGTCCCCTCGCGGCCCTGGTGGCGGCATTCGGAGCGAACCTGACCTATACCCTATACCGAAGGCCCCGCGGGGCCGCGAAACGAGCGAAGGGCGTGCTGAAATGCGCCAAAGCCAAGGCCGCCGTTCCAGGGGGGCCGCGGAACGCGCGAGGGGTGCGTCGAAACGAATTCGCGCCGCTATGCGCCCGCTCCCGCTTGGGCGATTCCATGGCGCCTCCTCGTGTTCCTGGGGCCGCGAAGCGCGTGAAGGGCGTGCCAAAAAGCGCGGTGCTGCCGCGTGGCTTTTCCCAGTTCCCAGCTGGCATTTGGCGGAAGCAAGGCGGGGGGAAGGGATGGGAATCGGAGGCGTTGCGAGGCGTTGCGGATTCAACACGAGGACCCCAAAACTGGGAGAGCTTGAGAAGCAACCCGCGTCGAAATAGAAACATGCCCTCCCCCCCAATGGTTCACCTCATTGAAGGCATCCTTTGCTGAAGCTGTTGTGCACGTTGCACCGCCCGGGGTGGGGTCCGACGCCAGGCCGCCCCCCTGCCCTTCGCGTTCGGCATGGAGCCCCACCTCGGATAGCGATGACGTCGTCGCTAGACCTCCCCAGCTTGTGCAATATACCTTCGCGATGAAGGCGGACCCAGCGGGGCCCACGGGAGCGCCCAGGCCTGAGTCGGCCAGCGGCGCTGTTATTCATATTGGCGCGGTTCTTGAAGGGGGTGTTCTTCCCGATCTTCTTGATAGTCGACTTGCTGATGGCCCCCATCTCGATGGCGGTGGTCATCCTTGGCCTACCTCTGGTTCTGAAGAACCCAGCGCTGTTCATGATCCTGCATCCCCTCATGGCAGTGCTCTCGCTGGTAGTGGAAATCTTAGGCCTGCCTCCGGTGATGAGGTTCATAGCGCTGGTTCGTGGCGAACATTTCTTGCTGGTGATCCCGATGCAAGGCCAGCCTCTGGTGCCCGGGATCTTGGGGTTGCTCTTGACGGCAAACTTGCTCAAGGCACCGTTCGCCATGGTGGTGATAATATTAGGCTTGCCTCTTGTGCCGAGGTGCCTGGCGCTGTTCTTCGCGATGGTGGTGATAATCTCAGGCCCGCTTCTGGTGCTGAGGATTATGTTCTTGTTCCTGATGGTGGACTTGCTCCCGGAACTGTTCTCGACGGAAACGATAATCTTAGGGCAGCCTTTGGCAAAGTGGGCCCTGGCGCTGCTCATGATTCTGCACCTGCGCAGGGCGCCATTCGCGATGGTGGAAGCAGTCTTAGCCCCGCTTTTTGTGCTGAGGATCTTGGCGCTGGTCTTGATAGGGAACTTGTTCGAGGCGCCGATCTCGATGGTGGCGATGATCTTCGGCTTGCCCCTGACGCTGAAGATCCTGGTGCTGTTCGTGCTTATGCCCCTGCCCCCGGCGCCGTTCTCGATGGCGGTGGACATCCAACTCCAGCCTTTGGTGCTGAAGTTCGTGGCGCTGGTCCGGCCTATGGACCTCCTCGTGGCGCTCATCCCATCGATGAAGGCGCGAATCCTCTGCTTCTTGCGGGTGCCGAGCCCCATCCACCTGGGCCAGCACCGCCAGGGCCCGAAGTCGAGATGGGGCCCGCTGTGCCCTATGGCGACGAGTGGAGACATCCAGCCCGCGAAGTCCACATTGAGCTGGAGCGGACTTGCAGTTCGAAGCGCAGCCAGGCGCGGCGGCGCGCAGAGGGGGGTGGCGCGAGGGGGGGGCATTCTAAGAAAGCGGGGAGCTTTTTAGAATGCGGGTGCTTTCTTAGAAGGGCCCCGCGGCTTCGGGGAAGCCTGGGGGGGGGGTGAGAGGCCCCCTGGCTTCTTAGAAACACCCCTGGCTTCTTAGAAGGCCCCCCCTCGCGCCACCCCCCTGTGCGCGTCGCCAACAGGCGTGGTCATGCAGCGACGGCGACGCCGACGACGGGCCGCAGCAGCAGCAACAGCAGCAGCCACAACAAGAGGCCCAATCGCCATAATTTATCCAGATCCATCGCCTTGGAGTCGCGCCCAGGATCTCGAGTTCCTAGCGGGGATTGGTGGATATATGAATATGTCCGCCCCCCTGGGCAGAGAGAATCCACAGCCACCGCTCCCGCGGGATTCAGGGCAGGGCCCCGGCAGTTATGGATGTGGATGCCTCTGGCGTTGCGGAGGTGCGCCCCTGGAAGCGGCGTTATGGCGCATGCAGTTCGCTCGCGGGCAGCGGCGTCGCCGACGCCCCGCTCGTCGACAGCGGCGCCTTCGCGCCGCTCTCGCAGGTGATGCGTTTTCTTTTGAGTAGTTTTTTTTTTTTGCTCGTTCCACCAACAGTGCTTGCACAGACCCGCCCTTAGTCAACTGGCTTTCGCCATCTCTCCACCCCCACGAGGAGCGAGTGTTGGCGACGAGCGTGGAAGTCGTAAACTGGGTCGGGAACAGCTGGAATGCATCTGCGGGGCTTTTGAGATGCCTCCCACGGGCCTCTTGGAGGGTTCCTGGGAGCATATGCATGCTTTGGGGGCATTCTTGGGGGCCTTGGAGGGACTTCTTGGGAGTCTTTTGGGGCCATCTTGGGGCTTCCTGAAGGCGCTGCGGGGGCCTCTGGGGAGCTCTATGGGGCCATCTTGGGGGGACGGGCTCGCAATGTCAGTTCGTGCAACCTCTCTTGGGCCCTTCTTACAGGCCTTTTGTGGCTTTCTTGGGCCGAATTGGGGAGCCCATCCGGCCGTCTTGGGGTTCTCTTGAAGGCTCCATGGGCCATTTTGGGGCGATCTTGGGGGCCCCTTGCCCCGTTTTGGACGCTGCCAAGACGATAGAGGCGAATACGCATGCTTAACACGCACGTTTTCTAAAAGGAATGTGACGGGTTGTGCTTCTGCGGGCTCTCTCGGCGGTCCTCTGGGGCCCATATTGGGCCGTCTTGGGGGCTTCGTCGCGGGCCGTCTCGAACCATCTCTGGCCGTCGAGTGGCAACCCTTGGCCGCCGCGACGCCGAGCTCCCCGCCCACCCCCCTCAAACGGCATTGAATGGCATTGCGGCCCCAGGGGAGGGGAGGGGAAGGGGGACATCAAGATGTCTCACACGTTCTTCACCCCCGGCGAGCGGGGGTCGGCCCGGCGGACTGGTCTGTCAGGAATTGGGCGATGCAGCCTGCTTGTGGCCGCCCGTCGCCGCCGTCCGCCGCCGCTTCATGGGGGTCCCCAGCCTGGCCTGGTCCGCCGGCTCGTGGCCGCCCCTCGCCGCCATCCATCGCCGCCGCCCGTCGCAGCTGCATGTGGGCCTGGGTGTCGCCGCCGCCCGTCGCCGCGCGTGGCGGTGTTTTGCTTAGCAATGTTTGGCATTGCCTAGCATACGTAGTTCTGCCTTGTTGGGCATTGTTTGGCGTTGCTTTGCTCGGCATTCTTTCGCGTTGCATTGCGTTGCTTGCTTTGTTTCGCATGGTTTCGCATTGCTTTGCGTTGGCTTGTCATGCTGAGCATTGCTTTGCATTGGTTGCCTCCCTCGGCATTGCTTTGCAGTGCTTTCCTTTGCAGTGTCTCCCTCGGCGTTGCTTTGCAGTGCTTTGCAGCGTTCGTTTACTTGCATGGCGCTGCGTTGCCTTTATGTTTCATTGCGTGTTTTGTGTTGACTTGAATTGCATTTCGTTGTTTTGCATTGTTGCGCATTGCGTTGCATTGCTTTGCGGGCTTTGCGCCGCGGCACTTGTAGCCTGCGCCGCATGGCTTGCAACATTTAGACTTCACAACTCACTGTTTGGGTTCCCGCTGGCTCCCCTGTTCTCCGGGCAGTGTTCCCCAGGCAACTGCCCTCCTGCTTTTGTCATCTTCCTATCCCCCTCATCCCCCCTCTCCCCCTCCCCCCCATACCCCTTAACCCGCCCCCTCCCCTGCCCCCCTCTCCCCGCAGGGGGGGTCGCCGAGGTGGCTGGCCCAGCGACCCCTCCAGCAGCGCCTCCTGCGATGGCTATCGCCCCCGCCGCTGGCCGGATCATGCTGGGCGCGGATTGGTGGGTGCAGCCTTTGAGGGCATGCCTTCGCGACGCGGGCATCGATCTCGAGAGGCAGCCCAACAGGAGCCTGAAGTACCACAGTTTGTGTTCAGGAACGGCTGGCGAATTCCTCGGGGCGGTAGCTTTCAGACTGCCAATTCAGGACGCTTCGCGATCGCCCGCCAGGCCATCCAGAGACGATGCTGGAAGGGGGGGCAGGGAGGGAAGGGGATGGACGGGGAAGAAGGAAATGACGACGACGACAATCGCGACGACGACGACAGCCGAGGTCAACCGCCAAGGACTTTGTACATCTTTCGTCCAGGGAACGACTCGGAGGCTTACTGGGCCATTGCGGCGCCGTCGGGCCGCCATTCTGGAGGCGGCGAGGGCCCCCTTCGAGTTTGAAAGGGGCCACGTTGTCGCTATCTTGGGACGTTCCTGGAGGTCTGCCCCCCCCCCGGCCCACGTTGGAGGCCATTGGAAAAAAGGTAGGCCTGCGGGCCATGTGGGCGCTATTGAGGGTGCTTCGCGAGGGCCCATCGCAAGTGCAAGGACGAGAGCGTAAAGCACGTTGAGCAACAAAAGGGTTTCGAGTGACTGTTGGTTATCGGGGCCTCCTCGGGGAGCTTGATGGCCACTCGGGGCCGCCTGGGCGCGATTCCTATGCCTCGCGGCGGCCATCTTGAACCTTTTGGGGCGATCCAATTCGGGGTCACTTTCCAGCCGCCTTGG